TATCTAGTCAATCTTTTTTTATACTTTCATTTATTTAATGAGAATCTTTCTTTTTGTCTTGGCGTTCACGCTGTTGGCTACAGCTGACCACCGTACGAAAAAATGCAACTATACTTTAGCAGTGATTAATTAATTACTCATTGTTGGTTTGGACTGAGACACTCTCGTTTCTTTTGTCTTTCTTTACTTTTTATCTACATAGCACCAAGTAGAAGTGATTATAAGTAACAGTGTGCAAACTATAAATGACATTTTAGGTTTCTAAAATTTTTCATAAGTCATCTTCCAGTATTGCTTATTCATGTCAATAAATCAGGAGATGCTAACCATTTGTAAGAATATTATTATGTTCGAGACAAGTCATGTACTAAAGCCTATTTAAGCTGTTATCTGTAAAGCACTAGCTTGTCAATAAAAATACAATGATGAAACAAGAGAATGAAAAAAAAGGCTTTGCTGCACAAGGCTGCCACTGCAAACATTCCAGAAATCAACCACAAAGGACTCTTAGATTTTTGCACTTAAGATTTACAGGATTTTGATAAAAAAATTTTATAACAGATAAGTCGCAAAATATGATGGATTCATTGCTATTGTAGTAACGCATGCAATAACTCTGTTAAGATGTAGGCAAGTCACAACTTATTGCAGGTCATCCACAGCAAATTACTTCATATACTCTTGTACAGTTAGTTCTTCAGTTTGAGTATGAAATAGCAAAGAAGGACACGTCATCTTAGCATATACTATTTATATTCAGCTGTGTCGGATCTCCCATTGAGAGACAGACCTTTACAATTTTGTATTCTAAAAACCGAGTAATGGGAAAAAGTTTATCTTGGATGCATAGAAGGAAAGAGGGCGCAATTGCAATACAAACATTTTTGATGAACAACGACTAGTAGTTGTAGCAGTAGTAGCCCAGGAACATCTTTGTTACTCTTGTTCGGTCCAGTATAAGTCGGTGCAGGACATGTAATCCCAAAACAAACTAATTTTCTAATTTGACTATCGTTTTCACGCCTTACACCTTTATCTACAATTTAGGTTCTCTTATTCAAGGCAGGGCAAAGTACGCTTTTTCGTGTCATTTATTACCTAGCCAAATGCTGAAAAAGTTTCGTTTATCTTGGTTCTAAAATTTCATGAACGTTAATACTTATGTTTGATTAAAAAACAATCTTACCAAAAGCCTTGATCTTGTTCTAAACGATCTTATCGAAAGCCATGATCACTTTAGCAAACAGTAGTACATGAATTTTTCTTTTTTTTGACGAAATGATTTGGTTACTTTGTGATAACATGACATAATAGAACATATCAACAACTTCACAACCACATTAATTCGAAAATATTGGATTTAGTTATTCATTATAGCTGTATGTTGGAAGCAGACATTCGTATCACTATAGCAAAAACTAACTATGATAAGGGTATAACATAAAAAGGAAGAGCAAATTTCAGCAAAAACATTTTTTCAAATACAAAATTGTTGGAAAATTACATAGTTTTCTCAAAAAGTCTAAAAGAATATAAGATCACCTCCCTTTCACGAAATTCAAGTTCAAGTTGAGGAACTCTTGCAACATTCCTTCCAGCATTGCTATATAAAAGAAAACACAAATTTAAGAAAATTTGATATCATTACAATGATTTTAATATTCCTGGAATAATTTGAGCTTTAAATATTTTGTATTTATTGAACAGAGGACATACAAGATGATTATTGCAGCGTAAACTCTAGATACATCTGTTTTTAATCTAAGTCATTTCATAAAAATTGGCAGCACAGAAATAAAAGTTCTTTCAGTATACGAGCTTCAGAAAGAAGGAAGTTGTGTGCTTCAATTCCGATGAAAGATGAAATCTATCAAAGTGAAAAAATTTTCAAAACGGATCTAAATTCTCAAAATAAATTATTACAGATAGTTTGTGGGCAGCTATCACTATTAGTAAGAAATGAATTTTTCGCTTATTCCATGATTTATATTTTGCAAAAATCAGACGAGTCCAAACTAAGAAAACTATTGTTACATGGGAAAACTTGAAACAGAACATAGTCGTAAGCGATTATATTCATTGTTTTTTCCATGCATATTATTGAAAGTGTTAGGGAATAACTGACCTAACAATCACTCTTGTTTAGAGAAATTTTCTTCAGAATTCCTGAAACAAATTATTACAGCGTTCTTTTTTAAACTGAACTGAACTTCAAATCACTTTGTCCAGTCGAAACGGAATTCTCAAAATTTAGATTGAAAATTAAGCAAAGTAAAAAAAATACTCAGAACGGCATAGTTACTAGTAATTAAAAAGTTTAAGCATTAAAAACTGAAGAAACGAATAATTTAGTAACATCAGAATAATATCTGAAATAAGAGTGCATTTGGAAGTTTGTTGATTGTCTTTCTTTGTCTTTGTTAGTAACTCTGTCTTTTAAATCAGTGGGAGAGTAAAGTAAATGTATCTTTCTATTCGCCCGTAACTATAAGAAAGACAAGAATAATTAAGCTTCTGCGAAGCTTATCTTCTATTTCATCAGACTCTTCATAATCAATTCTGCTTTCTTTGTTTCAAGCAACAATATAGATCGAGATGGATGAATTTAAGAATTATCTAGAGAAACCAAAGGGAATTACATATCTATACTTGATGAAGTACTCGATTAAAATATTTTGAGGTGAATCTAAGCTCGTGCGGTGGAATTCTGAGAGAAGTGATTTACTATTAAAAACAGTATTGGAGAAGAAGAAATGGAATTTGATTTTATTTTTAATCGTTTTTCTTTGAATTATTTTAGAACAAATCAAATATTTCTTAGTATGTTTCAAATGGCATTATTTAAAAAAAATCTATTCTTACTGACAAATTTTATGGTTACTGTGGGTCTTGGTTACTGAAATCACCTTCTAAAAGTCTTTTATTCTTTCTATTTACACTTACTTACCTTTTCCTTCAATTTCTCTTAAACAAAACATTTGTTCAATTATATTCTTTGTATTAAGAAAATCTAAAGTCATGACTACAGTAAATTCAGTAATAAGTACGGCACAATTACGCATGGTGACTGAATATTTAATCTCATTTCTAAAATTGGCCAAAATCAGAAACTTGAGAATTATGAGCATGTTTCAGAGTCTTGATTACAGGATTTTAGAACTGGATAGTGCAAGAGTTTTCATACGAATTTTATTTAAGCACTATTCAAAAATTAGTATATATTAACCAAAAGCATTGCTTCATTTTTTAAATAGCATTGCAAAGTAACTGTTTAGCCAATATAATTAATAGTTTTTTCAGCATGATTTAACAACATTGAGTTAAAAAGCGACTATCCAGAACTACAAATAATGCATACAACTGAAGTATGAAGCTTCTTCATTGATCAAATATTCTAATCAAGAGTTCTTGGGGATATATACAGGAACTTATTAAATATGATAGTGGAAAGTGGTGTGTATTTGAGATAAGAAATACACGAAATATTCAAACATCTTAAGCATTCAACGAATTCATTTCATTTGTTTTTGTCAGCTATAATCCTTTGGGAGTAAACTGAAATATATTCAGAAAATGAAAGTAAACTAATGCAGTTGATGGATGGAGGATTTTGCTTTGAAGCTGACAATTGAATTCAGTTTGTCTATCTCACAAATTCATACATCTACAGATATCAGTCTAGTTTCTCTGCCAATGCAACATATCACTGTTTATCGCTTGTTACTCATCTTTAGTGACAGATCGAAATGAAGTTTTGAGAAATTTTCGGTGTTTTCCATATACAAATTCCCAGTGCTGCACTATGAATTGATCCCATCGGTAACACATTTTCTGTCTTGGTTACTACTTTGATATCGCTCATGGGACTCACAGGTTTTGTTGAGAAATTTAGAAACTAGCTACGAAAAAGACAAGCAGAACTGAAGTTATTAACGAAACACTTCAAATTTTGTATTTGGTGAAAATATAATTGAAGCATGGAAAATAATAAATTATGTCCACCACGTTTAACTGCAAACTCTGGCTACTTGAATGATTTATCTCTGTTGTGTTAAAGTACGTAAGATTTCGAAAAATTTTACTCAAACTCATGACAGTTGTACTAATGAATAAATAAAAGTACTTATAAGACAGATGTACTAATAAGCACAACTAAAGAGACCACATAATCAGTAATTTTGAAGTATGTGAGCACTTCCGTATGCGTACTGCTCAGAATGTCAGGACAAAGTGTTGGAAATTTCCAATCATGTTTTTTTAAATAAATGTTTTTATAGTTCAAGTGATTTCTTCATGGTTATTAAATCATTAGAATTCAACGGAGATAATTAATTGATAAATGGAGTGTGATAATCATTCAAACTGTCTTGGTAATATTTACGAATGCAGTACTGTAGAAACAAGAGGACTTGTCCAACAAGTTTGTTCAGCTCTTTACACTTTCAATAAAACAAATCGTATTGCTAGAAGTATATTCAATTGCTAAAGCTATGAGATTAACAGTACTGGATTTAAAATTTTCATATGCTTATTGCCAACTACAATCGAAAATCTCTATGCACCGCATTCTGAAATCATATTAGAAGTGTGATATGATGTCGCATTTACAGTGTAAAATGTTAAATGCATTGATAGTACCGATTCAACAGTGGTATTCATACAAAATTAGAAAAGCTGATAAGAGCATGGAAAAAGTTCTTAATACAAGGAGCAGAGCTAATTTAATCGTAAAGCCATTCATGTTTGTAATTGAATGGCAAGTAACGGTGAGTGTTTAGTAAAATAAAAATGGAAGAAAAGGCGAGGAGAAGGCTGACATAACGTTTCATACAAAATTTAGATAACTGAGAAGCTAATGATTGTAATTAACGGCCATTTGATTGCATAGCACAGCACTGTTCTCTTCCTTTCAGAGCTAACTCTTAACGTAGGGAACCGGAACCGATATCGCGTGTTTTCTTTGAAAACATCAGACATCTCTTTATTTATATGCTCTCTGGCTACGCTTGGCCTGACTCCAAACGAAAATGATATTTATTTGCGCTGATTGGTCGGCTGTAGCCAAATTCTAAATTTTCGAGCTTCATCCCATGAATTGCTTCTAAACAGGCTGCATTGTGCACGCGTTTCCGGCCTACCGCTAGTTTAGTGAAATTTTCAAATTCTTAATATCGTAGTCTTTAGGGATTTTCGAGATCCACACAAGTAGTAGTTTAACATTTGCTTGGTGGATTGATTGCTGCCTATATGCAAGAAAACCTTTAGTCAATAAATTTCAGTTCGTTAAGTCCTGTACACTTTTCGTTCTGTCATAACTTCGGGTGTACTGAAGCAATCAAAATTTTGAAATAGTTGCGTGACGCATGCAAAATAAGCACCGCTAGAGATTCTCATCTGTTGCACAGTAGCATCAGTACGACTGTCTTGCACTGAACCATATCGGAGAAAAACACAATTAGATAAAACATTGTATTTCCTAGAAACAATCTTCGAATTTATCTACACATCATTCTATATTTACGTTTCCGATTACAAGTCAAGACGATTGCTTTCCTAACATTCTGTCAAATATTTTCGGAAACTAGGGTAATTAGCATCGTCCTAAAAGTTAATTAAAAGAATTTTAAGCCAGTATTCTGAAGGATAAAAAATTCTAAAATGTTTTGCGACAGGAACAATTCATTTCTGCTACAGTATCGTTTGACAGCATTGGACTGTTACATCACATGCTTAAAGCGAACCTCGGACGACTGCCACTTAGAGACCATGTACTTTCACCAATGAATCCAAAAACAACCATGCACCTAATATTCTGTAACGTGTCTGAGATCGGTCATCAGAAGCCAACTCCTCAGTAAGAAATAATTTATGGCGAGTATCATAATAATCTATCAATACCTGTATTAACTTAAGACGTATGGTATTTTGCAGTTGCCCGAGTTTACATTAGGCAAATGCTTCAAAAACGATTTAGTCTAGCATTCTAATTTCTCACTGAATGTCTTGATGGAGGTTTCTGTATTGGGGTCGTGTTTTGGTTAATTATTCTCTTTCTTAATTGTATTAGTTATTCATTGCTTTTCATAAACAATTCAGCATATGTTAGTTTACTCAGATTGATTTGGCACGCAGTTTTATGGTAAGATGAAAGAAGGTCAGACGATGAAGATACAAAGGTCAAAACCTGCTGGAAGGTACCTTTCTCAAATTTTCGATTTTTTCGATAAACGTATAAATTTTTATTCGTTATTATATTATTCTCTATAAATCAATTTAGTTATTTTCTATAAATTAATCAGGTGTCTCTTGATGACTTATTATGAAACTGTATATCACAGTTAACCATCGTAATGTCAGTCATAATTATATTTCGTTATTTAGGCTCCAGCAAGATGTATTTAATTAATGATTGGGAAAAGTGACCTATTAATTTATTTTGTGATCATGTATATATTATAACAGGCTGTATGTGAAAGCAGTATTTGCTGGCTATAAGCGTTCGCAACGAAATCAGCATGAACACACATCTCTTTTAAAACTCGAGGGTGTCCACAATAAAATAGACGCTCAGTGGTATATTTTTAATTTTAACACAAGTGCATTCATTTTTGCGTCTGTTTTCTGATTTTTGTAGTTTTTGAGGATTATTTACTACTTTTGGAAAATTTTAGGCAGTAAAATTTTTTACTGCGTGTAGGAAATTGTATGATGTGTTGTTTTATATTAAAAAAATTTGTTCACAAAACAATAATGCCAGCATTTAAAAGTATCTGCATATAATTTAAAATTGATGTTACTTTTAACTCTTCATGAAATAGAAGACTGTCTCAGAGCTACAGATACATTGCCACTTGTTAAGATTTTGTGTCCTGATTTTGAAACCGCTTTTCTCAATATTTGATCCCTCATAGTCAATATGAAGTGTGGTCAATTTCAATTTTCTCTAGTGTCTTTGCCATTTTTTGGCTGCACAATTAAAAGATGGCCATGCGTTTAAAACAATTTTTTATATAATTGAAAAGAAATTTGGTTTCTTGAAATTTCTCACAGTAAAAATATTTTACCTCAAGGAATTTGATTCTAGGTTTTATATAGCTTGTTCTCAGGTATGTAGGAAAGAAGGTTGTGTATGTTTATAAAGCATACAAAAAGACCAAAGTACCTGGCAGGGCACCGAAGCGAGTTCGAGCAATCTGGGGAAAGATTACTCGAGTGCATGGAAATGTTGGTACAGTCAAGGCGAAATTTCACCGTAATCTTCCTCCGAAAGCTATGGGACAGCGTGTACGTGTGGTAAGATTTAAAAAAGACGGTATTTTATAGATTTATTTTGTTTTATAGGTTGCTTTTGTAATGTTGCTTAATTTCGAATTACTGAATTTGATTATAATTGGTTACCAAACTGAAATAAGCTTTCGATCTATTTATTTGCTGTCTGTCATTAACTTATTTTTCGGTTGCTTTTTAGATGCTGTACCCTTCAAATATTTAACTGAAAGAAGAAACATGGATCCAGAAATTGATCATTGTTGTTATTCTTCCTGTTTTCAAAAATAAAGATTTAATGACATGTTTTTTTGTTTTCTGTTCAGGTTGCGCATACAACTACTGCTATCCTTTTTTGAGTCATTAGATTTGACCTAATTCGTTGATTTATTTATAAATTGCATTCATATCAGTAAGTTACAACTACAGTTTGTGGGATAATACTCTTTTTCTTTCAGTCAAGGAGAATAAAAAAAAAAGCAATGTTTGTGTGTTCAGCAAGTGATTTCCTTGCATGTCTGTTGCACAATTGCAGGTAATATATCTGTATGAGACGGCATTGGATCATGCAACATTGTTGATCTATGCAATTTGTGACCTGAGTTTTCAGTTTTTAGTTCGGTTGAGCCAAACAAGAAGTGTTTGTTTGGTGAGTAATGGCTCCAGTGCATAGAGCAAGAAATCGGCCATTCAGTTCAAATCTACATCACCATTCAGGCTCAATAGCTAGTCGCCAGCAGGTTTGTGCTGATATCATCATTCAGGCACAATAACTGCCATCTTCCAGTAGGTTTTGTTTAAAGGACACTTATTTAGTTTTAGATAACAGACATGGTGCGACCATTATAAACTACATTTGGTTCTGTGTTACAAGTGTTTAATTTTCATAGTTTAATATATATTGAAAATATTTGAGAAACTCATGGTTTTTGGGTGTGTTACAGATAAATTCCTTCATGTTTCGTGAGAGAAAAATAATACTATTGCTGTATTAATAGTAACATTTTTTCTTTCTGTTGTTACAGTTAATGCTTGTTCAACATTACAACAGTTCTGAAATCAGTTGTTGTGTCAAATATACCATCTTTGGATTCAATGTATTATTTTGGATCATTGGTTTTGCTCTTCTAGCAGTTGGTGTTTGGGCTCATTTTGAGAAGAACAGTGCTTATTCTTATCTCAATAAAGCATCGAAATTCTATCTTGACCCGGCAGTATTTTTAATTTTTGCTGGTATTTAAAAATTTTTAAGTCATTTTCATCTTTTATTAGGCTTGAAAAATCTTCTTCCTTATGAATTGCTGTGAAAAATCATGATTCATTGAATTATTATATTTTTTATTGAAACATGCAATTGTTTTAAAGGTCTGTATAATTTGGAACTGCTGTGGACGGTAGTTCACCAATGATTATTTCACAACTTTCAATGAGTGTTCTGCATTGCTTGCTATTCTGGTACTTGGTCAAATTGAAAAAAGTATCTTGTGAAAAAAATATTTTAGCCTTATTGTAATTGGAATGTTTTTGCAGGTGGCCTTATATTTCTCATCGGTTTCAGTGGTTGCGTGGGCGCCCTACGAGAAAACACATGTTTTCTAGCTCTGTATTCAACAATCATCGGTCTTCTTTTATTAGCGGAATTAGCTTTAGTTATTTTGGTTTTTGCATCAAAAGATTGGATCACTCAAGAATTCTTCACCAGATTAGATGATACGGTAAACGTATTATAGCTTTATATTTTTATTCTGTTTTTTTTTTATGTTGCCGAAAATTTTACTTTAATTATTTGTCAAATCGTTTGATAATATTTGTATAATTAAGGCGAAGTCTGGAAATATTTGTAATATTCGGCTGTTCAATATTGGACATTATATTTCAAATTTAGTTTGAATCTGTTGAACAGAAATTCAATTATTTTCAATGATCGCTGTTCATGATTATCAACATGGCAAGATAAAATCTCTCAGTCCTTCAAAACTGAATCTTGAATATTTTTTCGTTAAAAATGATGTACATTCGCCGGAAGTTTTTTAATAATTATATCATCTTCATAAGTTGAATTCCTGGATCCAGGTGATAATGTACAGAGACGACCCAGATTTACAAGCGCTTATTGATTGGGTTCAAATATATTTCAAGTGTTGTGGAATGAGGTCGCCAAATGACTGGGATATGAACATATATTTCAATAAATCATCGCAGCAGTTTTCTTCTCCTGAAGCTGGTGGAGTACCATATTCATGTTGCAAAAAGATGCGTGGAGTAAATGACGGTCCAATCAACTTTTTTTGCGGCCATGGTGCTAGACTTTTCAAAGAGGTATATCGTTAGTAATTTCATTCTTCGAAGTCATGTTTCAAGTGTAGTGTAGAGCACTTTGAACTGGATTTAATCGTTATGAGGTTGATGCGTAGTTGTGTACTAGTTTTGCAGGGTTTAAGTGAGTCGATACACAGTGAGGGTTGTACACCTAAAATCGAAAATTATCTGTCACAAAACATGACATATGTTGCTGTTGCAGTGATCCTTGTTGCAGTAATTCAGGTTAGTCAATCTTGTACTTCATTAAATTTCTAGTAATCAAGTTAAAAAGCATTTGTAATTGATAAACGGTGTATATGCTTTGGCCAGATCTTTTTTAAAAGTGTTTGCATTTTCATTTTGCTTACTTGGTTGTATTCATTATTGTACAAGCATATTTTCTCATTTTGTTTTCTTTCCAGATTCTGGGTATATTATTTGCACAAAATCTTCGAAGTGATATATTTGCACAGCGTGCGAGATGGTATACTGGTAGATGACTTTTAAGACAGATCAGCTAAATATGAGTTTTACAGCAAATAATTTATATTATACCTTAGTAGTTATTATTCGTGTTACTGCACAACAATAATTATGGACAGATCAGTGTTTGCTGTTTATTTTCGTTTTGTGCAGCAATTATCCTTTTATTGATGCCTTGTTTTCTCTTCTTGCATCAAGAGGATTTTAAGTGCTATTCATTAACGTTTATAGGTATTAAGGAAGAAATAAGCATGAGAAACATAAACATCGATCATTTTTAAAATATATTTTTTGGACATGGTATTTGTTATTTGTTTTCATGCAGAAGCTTTAATCAGGGTTTATTGATGACACCAGATTGACTAAACAGTCTCTGCTTCTGAAGAATTCAACTTGTTTTGATAATATAAATTTCCTGGTGCTAACTGTGGAAAATAGAGTGCAGTGAGTTATTGTTTTCCATATAAAAGCGTAACATGTCTTTTCATTGAGTATCCATTCTTCATTTTCTTTAATACTGTTTGAAAGTTTATTTGTCGCATTTGGTCACTGTGTTCTTCAATCCAGGTTCTTTCATGTATTCAAGATCAGCTGTTAAAATAAAAGATGCAGTTAGACATTCCACGTTCAAAAATTTTTTTGTTCTATTTCATTTTTCTGTGGTGATATTAGTTTTTCATGTCTTGAAGCAAGTAGGAAGCTACTTTGTGAAGTGATGGTTTTATCTATTATTAATACTTGTGTGACATCATAATTTCGGTGATAAATTTTGTGTTTGTATTTCAGAAAGAAATGCTGAACAATACAAAATTTAATCATACAAGCAACACTGTTTTTACAGAATTAATATGTATAACTAATCAAGTGTTCTGATTTTGAAGTTACTAAAATTTTGAAGTAGGGTTGATTTGCTATTGTAGAGACAGTGATTTGTCTCTTCCGGATACCATATCTGAGATCCTGTAGTTCTCTTGTATACATTACTATCGTCTCAGTTTGGTACGAATGTGATTACGGTGGTGAGAAGATTCCTCTCTCATTTTTCGTGAAGGAAAGAAGCAGTTATTAGCAAGGTAGAATGTGCTATTTGACAATGGGTCGGTGTGTATATTAGTATTGTAGTCATGAGACTACTATTATAAGAAGAGAGAAAAATCTCTGTACACAGTTTACTTACAGAGAGCCTGCTAAAAAATTCAGCAGTTTCCAAGTGTAGTGGATTCAATTTAAATGCGAAAGTTAAGTATGATTTAATAGCATTCAATTTGGGAGAGTGGCATTTGCGGATTACTTGCATATTAAATCTTTTAATAGGTTTTTTGTAAGTAAACTGTACAAAAATAAGCAAGAGATGAGGAACTTCTTGCAGCAAGCATAATTCTCATTATTGTAGGACATGATCGATGCAATCAGCATATTCTTTGGCAGAAATGTATGCACAATATCCCTGCAGTCTGTACTATGTTTTTATTGCTGATGTATTCATTTATTCAGATTCGTAGTATTTGATGTTCTCCTCGTCTTCCATTATTTGTGCAAACTGCATTTTTTAGCTGATAGTTGCCATTAATACTTTCTTTCATTGACGTTACTGTGTTCTGAGATTGCTGTTTTCAGCGTATTATTTTTTTGGTACCTTTCTACAATTATTATCAAATGGGAAAAGTAAAGGAAGTATGTGACAAAGGCATTGTTCGCTTTGATTGTGACGAAAGTTTGCTGGAAGCAAAAGAAGAGCGTGCAGAAAGGGTGCAAACAGTTTCATGTTGACACTTTAATTTTTTTAATCACATTTGTTCTTTGTCATTCTAGAGATGAAATTATGCTACAAAAGTTGAAACTTTCTTACTTTATTGTATCAAAGCAGTCATAAATTGCTCATTTGGAAACTTGTCAGGTTTTGGCTCTCACACCACGTGAACGAGAAGAACTGCCTTATAGAAGGATCTCAGCGTTATCCTTTATAGCTATCATGCTCATATTTGGTGTACCATTATGGTGGCAGACAACTTCGACGTATCGTGCGCCGTTCCACACTTTTTCTGTCGATGATCGTATATTAGTACCTGTAAGTTTTTGTTGCATTGTTTTAATATGCTATAAATTCCATGTTTTTCCTTCGTTTCCACTTCCACCAATTTATGGAAACAGTTTTGCAGATACATATATCAGTCGCCAGTTCACATTCTTCATTGAAGTTTCATGTTGACCGTTCAATGGTTTTGCTTTTAAATAATCTTTATAAGCTTCCTGAAATTGACCACATACATTTTGTTTATAAATGGAACCATAAAAACGTGGTTTGTTTTACCTTATTAATTATTGCTTCCTTATCTTTACTGCCATAAAAGTTGTACTCATATTTCTTTAAGCAGCGTGTAAGTTGAAATTGTTTAGGATTATTTAGAAATCACTCCAAGGACCAAAGGGGACAAACTTGATATATTTGGAATGCATGTTGCGATTGTTAACGAAACAGCATGGCCTTATTCTGGATATACTATTTATTTTGGTAATCTGTGGACTTTTGTGCTGAATTCGGAGGATGAAACAGAACTGGCACAACGCATGTTCGCAGCCATCACAAATTTTCTTTTAGATATCAATCACCTTTCAGCAATCGTTAGACGTGATTTGAGACGACGAATTCAAACACAGGATATTGATGCTTTGTCACCAAGTCAGCAGGTCAATTCAAATTTTCTTATTATTTCGGTTTTTTTTTCAATTTAGACTGAAGAAAATAAGCTTCACTAAAGTTAAAAACAGCAGTCTGTGTGAAGAGAGCATTGAAATGAACTTTCATTTTACCTTTTAATGTTATGAATTATTAAACTCCTATTTCGAATTTTTTGTTACAGAAACGTCTGATTTGGGATTCAGTTGCTCTAAATGCCCAGTATATTGTGCATGTAATATTTCTGCATGCTGGTTATAAAGAAAGTAATGGACATCACTGGGCAGAAAGAGTAGTTTTAAATGCACGCAGATTCGCCATGAAGTTGGCAGAAGTAACCGAACTGATAATTAGTTCAGAGCACTTATGGGATTTTGATTTAAATGCATGGCTGATGAAAGATATAAAAGGAAGAAATATAATTCATATGAGCGACATATCCAAAATTGTTACTGCGGTAAGAAATTGTATTAAGGATTTTGGTTTTGTTCAATTGCAAATTTCAATTTATATCTTAAAAATGGATATCGTGAATCATAATTTATCTCTGTTTTATAATAGTTTTTGCGATTGACAGGTTGAACAGGAAACAAGTACTGTTGAATCATCTGCTCCGGTTATAAAGCTGGTATTGTTCGATTCTCTTCATCCTATTACACTTCTTGACCAATATGTATGCTTTTTTGCATTTTATTTTGCAGTGGAAAATTGTTATAAGCTTTAGCTTTAGTTTTATTATGTTAGTTATATAGAATTATGTCAATTATGGTGCCCTTTTTTAAATTTAGTGTTAATTAAAACATATAGTAAAGAATACACTTCCAGACTTGAAGAGGGAAATAATTCACTGAAGTAGTGATGTTTGCGAACGTTGAGGAGCCTAAATGATATTTGGTTTATGATGTAGCTAAAAGCAAAATTCTTCTATTCATATCACTCACATGAACTTATAGCATGAGTGTTATTGGTCTCAAAATGTAATGAACAGTTTCAGGAAGAGGACTGCAATAGTGTAGTCGTTGCTTCCTGGGGTGCCTTATTTTCCACTCGAGACTCAGGAAGTTTGATTGTAGATGAATCGGTCATAGCTGCTATGCGTGTTCTTTTCGGTCTTGATACTGATTTACCAAATACAGCTCAACGGCTGCCATTACCAGTCGCTGAGTGGGAAATTAGACGTATGAAATTGCGATCATTTATTGATTGCTCCATAAATGCAATTTCTTCGGTTGGTGCGATCAAGAAGTTGGTCTCACAAATCAGCAGTATCGTTATTAGTGATGAGGTCCGTAGTTTGTCGATCAAGATAATTATCTTTTGAAAATGAAATACATCGGGAAACTTAACATAGGTGTGGAGCAGCAAAGATTTTAAGCATATGGTACGATAATATAATCACTTTATATACAGCTACAAGTAATCAAATTGGCAGTATTTACACCTATATGTTAGAAAACATGTATAGTGTTGTCACTTTAGCAGCCTTGTTTTTTGATGTACTGATTTTCAGGTGGCTAATAAGACGAATTATGCTGTAAAGCTTATTTCTGAAACTCTATCAGCAGCAGAAAAGACAGGAAACATTGAGGTTGCTTCAGTTATTGAGGGTCGAGCTCTAGCTGAGAGTGCTTTAAATGATCAAAGTTTGCTTTCATTGCTATACTTCCCAAATGATCAGAAATTTGCAATTTATTTACCGTTATTTTTGCCTACACTTCTATCATTGCTTGGTTCAGTCTTAACTTTGAATAGGTATTGGATGGGTAAAGAATAGATATCAGTATTGAAGTATTAGTTTGCGTAATTTTTATCTATAAACTGTTACCGTTTAATTTTTTTTCCTGCATTTTAGCTTATCTGTGCTACCTACGTTCTTTTCAATACGGTTTAATAATAAAAAATCACAATTATAACTATGATACCAGTGGTGATTACTTCCAATTTTTCATTTGACATCTTCAAGTAATTCGCTTGAAATTAGTTTGCCTAATGCGTGGTATCCTCTTGTTTCTGTTAATATTCAACTAGATATGAAATACATTGAAGGAAGAAGTGAATATCAAATATTGACTATGAGTTTTAGTTGACTCTCCATGTCTTTGGTGCTGTTATCAAAAAATGTCCGTTACTGAAATTTTTCAAATTCACACTTGGATTGTATTTTATGACTACAAAAACAAACAAGAGTAAAGAGATCGTATAGCGTTCCATATTGGTTTATTAACTGTTTCTTTTCCTCTGCAGATTTTTTAAAATTCAACCTAGCGGAACCGAAAGCTTCTGGAGACGCTTTTACGTCTATTTTTAACAATGTATCAGATAGTGGCGTCTGAATCACTGTTGAGTTTTAAATTACATTACATTCAAGTTGAAATTTGTTTGTCAGCTTTTTCTATCGATTTTTGCTAGTGATCGGATTTGCTTATATTTGATTTATAATTTGATTTTAAGGGCCTGTAGACGACGAATAGATGATGAATTGAAGAAAAAGATTTTTAGAACCAGTTTCATTTCATCATAAATAAAAAAACATCAAAACATAGTCGTTTTGAGAATACCAGACAGAAGGGTTATCTTTGATGAAACGATTAGTCATTAGAAGAACTAATCAGCTTGAAAAGACAGGTTCTCAGTTTCGGCTGAAATCGTCAGAAGTACAGTTGGTGTTCCATAAGTATATATAAGTACGTGGTCAGGAAAATGTCGCGGGTCTTAAGAGCTATGGTGGTTCTGCCTGCTGAAACTGTTTTCATCAGTCTATTTTGAAAGCAGGATTAGCCTCAAGTTGTGACTAAATTATGAGCAACCAGTGATGCTTTCTGTTTCGAAGGCGAGTTCTTACAATTGGCAATCATGTAACTTTTGTCGCCATAGATTTCGGACTAACTTTGCCAACTTAAAATATCTAAACCAAGAAATGGGACTGACAAAGATCACAACAGAGATTCACGGTGTGTGATGAAAGGGTTGGAGTCCTTCGAATTTAGAAGTGCAGGCAGGATATGATTAAATCTTACACGAAATTCTTACCTAGTTTTTAACACCAGTCATAAGAGGGCCGCGTTTGACACATAGTTTTAACTAAAACAAAGCAATGAAGTTTGACTGGCTCTTTTAGGTGTCTTTGACATGCTTTGGATTGATTGGTTAGTAGCATAACTGTCCAACTGAAGTTAATTTTTATTTATGGTGATTTATTGATACATCAGCGTAGTAGAATGTTTTGTAAATAATTAGCGTTAATATGTATGAAACTTAGGGCTGCTTAGAGATATAGCTCTTGAATAAAGCTTATTCTAGAATGCTTAAATCAAGAATTATTGAGATATACTTGAAATTAGGAAGGAATTCTGTGATGCATTTAATCTTAGGTATTTTCAATTGTTTCTCGGTTTATTCATTCATCGTCCACATTCCAGCTGTAATTATACGTAGCGTTGACTACTTTAAGATTCCTGTGCGCACCTCTCATAGTACGTGAAAGTAATTTTAAAGTACTATAGCAAATTAAACAGTGGTTTTGTGAGCTGCTCAATCATGTTATCTTTTATAGATTACTGTTTACCACCTGACTATATTAGAGATAACATCATGGATAGCGACGGAACAGCTAGCAATGTGCATTTGTGCGATCCATGCGAATATTTAAAGATGAAGCCGAAAAAGTCGATTTTGAAGGTTTCTGTTTCATTATGGCATTGCAATCAACTTTATTCAACATTTTCTCAGTTTTCACCACGTTTCACTCTAACTTTTATCGTAAAGTCCAAAAAAAGGGTAATTCTATCATCTGACCACGCACTTTCTCAGATTTCAAAATGATTTTTGAGATCTTAGAAACATTTCATGTGAAGCAGCCATCTTCGGAAGAAAATAAGCGTCTTGCTGAAGATCGAGCTCACTTTGATGAAATGAATATCATAGCAACTCATCATCCTCATAACAAAGAATATGGGTTCGATCTATCTTAATGTTATGATTCAACTTTAATCATGTCTATAAATTGGTATAGAAGACAGTTTTATCCCATATCCATGAAGTTTCTTTATTGATGTTGCTTAATCGTGTTACATTTTTTAATCGGAATTTAATTTGCTTATGGTAGGTTTCATTATTGTTTGTTCACATTAGTTGAATTAATTCTGGAAGGAAGAAAGCATTTTTGCTGATTATTTGAATCTTAAATGTGCGTAATTTTTCAATTAGGAACGCTCTACTGATCGTTTTTTTAAGTTCTCATTTGCATTTGCAATTAAAATTTTTGGTAATCTTACATATAGAGTTGGTAATTGATGCCGCTCTACAATTTTAGTATTTTTGCAAATCCAAATTTATGATCGATGTCTCTTTCAGTCATATGAAAGTAAATGAACCAAAAACTCCGTATCACGGTTACAGTGATAGCGAAGACGATACAGATAGTCATACATCAAAAGCGCCTCGTCGAGTTTCTCTGATTGGAGCAGTTGATCCTGTAAAACTGGCTGAATGTCTTGAGACAGGTTCGTCAACTCAACCAGTGCATCTTGTAAAGAGATTCTCAGACGACGAAGAAGAAGTCGAGCTAACTCCGGAACAAATTGGTAGCTTCATTCCTTTTTAATTCTATGCACCTTCATGATTACATTATAAATTAAACTACTCAGTTATAACTCCAAGTACATTTTAAAAAATGTCATTGTGCGTTAAATCTCCGGAAGTGACTGTAAAGAACTTGAAAAAGTTATTTCATAACAACAAAGAAAATGATTACGAATGTGACTTAATGTTTTCTTTCAGCTCATAAGAGGGAATTTGAAGAGAAAAGAAAGCTACATTATAACGAGGGCGCTGCTTTGCTGCGTTCTAAGACATCACTGATTCAGGACGAAAAGAATATGGAGTAATCATTATCGTTTGTTAGTTCTTTTTTAAGCTTTTGTTTCATGAGTTGACCCGATTATATTACGATACATGCAGCTATTGTTTTCTGATTTTCGATAATGAGACAAAATCACTGAATAGAGCTTTTTCACTCTATGTACATTATTTGTAATAGTATATATTGTTTAAAGAATCTAAGAGCTCGACGCAATTTCTACACTTAATTCAAATACATTATATTCATCTACTATTTACCCATCCTCATGGTTAGTCCCAGATTTATTGCTGTTCCATCCTTTTTTTAAATCCATTTTTCATGTGATCAATGTAATGTATTGAAGAATAATATTAGAGCTATTATTACATGCAGATTATTTTTCAGGTGTCGTGAGAATAGGGGTAGGCATGGCTTTGAGCATATTAATTGTTTTGGTAAATGGTTTAATCACTAACTATATTAAGTGCAATTACTTCAAAAGTATAAGTTAAATTGGCTGCTTAACTTTGCGCCAGTGTTGAGTTTTAATTTTTTGGGAATCTGTGATGGGTGTAACAGTTTCATAGCCTTTAGATACAAGCAAAACATCAGTTTTGACTACAGTCACCTAGGTGTGTTCAGAAAGCATTTTATTTCTGATATATTGCATTGTTTCATTCTTTGATAGATTGAAGCATGGAGTGTTTAATGTATTGATAAATTGTCTAGCACTCGGAAACTTCTTATCCTTTACTAACATTTGTGTCAAGTTTTAGCTTTCTTGTTAATAAATTGAATCTCCTAGTTAGTTTGGCTAATGTTGAATTAATTTTCATGTTCATCTACTGGTATGCATTTGTGTCATTTTTCTTTTTGTACACGCTTATCGAGAAATGAATTTCAGGAAGTCATTTTTAGATTGTGCAATACTGGCATCTCTACTTAGTACCAATGTTACTGGTCGCTTGTTTCATTTCCGCGTAGAATCATGTATATTAACTTGGTTACTGTAAGAGAACTGGCAGATTTCATATAAGGCAGTCAGTTAAATTGTGTGGACAACCGCTCAAAGCATTTCTCGCTTCTAAGTCGTATGCAGCATATAATCTCTGTCGTTACATGCTGCCCTTTGTGCCTTTTTAATGTACTGCAATTTGTTCACATTTCATTAGCATAAATGGCTCTCGAAACAAAGTATTCCGAAACGTCTTATAGCACTGCACTTGGTTATAATAAATGAGTGAAGCGTCAGTTCTTTGACACTATGCAAGACAGTTGCAGGAAAAATGGTACGTCCCGACTCCAACAATAAAAATGAAAATATGGACTCATGATTTTCTCAACGCATGTACTCTACGTTCTCCTGAGCATAACTTGTCTGTTTTTAAAGGAATAAGGGAATCCTAATGTCATCATTACTTAGAATCTCTGGACACAAATTACTCAAGCAGTTTGCTCCACATTGAGGGTTCAAGAGTCACTTTTTTTTCATACCAAGTAAAAATGAATGACTCGAAATAATTTGCAGCTTGGATAACTTATAATACTTAGAAGGGCTTTTTGCATATACCACTCTGGTAGTTACGCTCCACTGAGTTATAATAGCATGTCCAATGGTGTTTTCTTTACTACAAGTGAGTTTTCTGACGGCTTGAGATCCTAATTGTTATATTCAAGCTTTCCAATATTCAACTAACAATAAAAGAAAACACCTTCAAAAAGGTTGCTTGGGGATAAGAAACGATTGATGGAGTAGGTCGTACATGATTGATTACATGTTAGAGGTAATGAGTGACAAATAGGACTGATAAACATTATTTGTCAGAGCTAAGCAAAACGCATGAAAATCAATTAAATAGGTTTAACGTATTACGCCGTTTTTAAAATCCTGCAAAGATAAATTACATAATTGTAATTAAAAGAGCTAATTAAAAACAACCCGAAAAGTAAGATTCACAGCAGAGAACAAAATAACGGTTCATACATATTTACTAATAAACGAGCAAAACTCATCAACCAAAGTATTACCGAAAGCATTTCATGAATATCACGGCAATCAATTTAGATGGAAACCCTTCTCATTGGTTGCAGTGATAAGACGCTCACGCATTATCTCCGTCGAAGTATAGTCGGGTAGCTTCAAATAGTGGACACACGTATTAACAGATGGGTAGCTGCCATCACCGCTATCTACTTTTCGAACAACTGTTAAACGTGGATGCAAATTCGCTAATCCACCTAAAGGATTAATCTTATTAAAGTTTGAAATGAAATACTGCACACAGAGGTACAGAATTATCGAAATAAAGCGTGAAGTAAAAGCATGTTATCAAAAAAAAAAAAGCATAAACTTTAGAAAACAAGATATAATACACATGTTCTCTGTTCCCAACCTGGTGGTAACGAAGAACAACCGGTCGTAAATTGTAAGAATGACTTGCGTTCACTCGCATTCATTCCAACTAAAACATCAACAAAACGTAAGAAACCAGGTGAGTCTTTGGTGTAGCCCAATTTTGGTTCAGTAAAATTGATAATATCTTCACGTGTCCACTGTGGACATTGTTCACCACAGAGGAGAGACTGAAAATCATTAAATTTCTTAACTCTGAAAATAAATTTCATATCATATGATGAAATTCAAGGTACACATGAAATATTCCAGTACACAAAAATTGCAAGTAAATGTTGTATGTTTCACTATGAACAGAAATATTTTTAGCGCCTACCTGCAACTCCTTCGGTGTGAACATTCTTAAATTTCGCAAAGGAAAAACAAGATCAAAACCTTCGCGGAATGCTTTTATCTAAAATTGAATAGAAATCGATAACAGCATCAAAATAAATGTTTCATCACGGATAATTTTTCAAAAATAAACATGTGTATAAAACGAAACTAAAAGAAATTCATCTAGAAAAAATGACGCATTGATACCTGATTTACAATGCCAGAATTCAAATAGAAATCAGTGTATGCTGCAATATATTGTTCTACATTATCAGCGTTTACATCTATATTTGCACCATTTTCAATCAATTCCATCTCTTTATAGTTGAATACTGTTGATGACGGATTAATACTGAAATAGTAAAAGCATTAAAAAGCAAGAACAAGAGAAAATAGAACAACAGAATATAGTCAGCATACAAGACATATTTGATAATGACAAATTATACTTACCAAAAAGTTAAAGACAAATCTTCAATACTACACTCTACGCCACTGATACATAACATGGACTGCTTGTCTTTTTGATGCGGAATATGTATGTTTTGTCCATCATAATTTGAAAGTGACTTTCTTCGTTCAACGTATTCAGCGAGCTTTTTCAGTATATAGCCTAAAATTCTTTTCATCCAAAACTCATATTTCAAAAAATTGGAATACAAAATTTCACTCATTATTAAGTAAACAATGAAATGGTAAGCACAATACCAAAACGAATTACTAAAACAACTTTCTAAAATCATAAAACATAGCTTTCGTGGACAAAAAAAATCAGTGGAGCGACGTTAGAGATTTGAAATAAAGAATTAAATTTGAATCAACCTTGATTTGGTGATATATTTTCCAAATCACTCAAATCCAGCACACCGTTTAGATCCATCTCTTCTTCTGCTATCTATATGGAATGTAAATAGAAAGAGAAAAAATGCTTTAACTCTAACTTTATTGTTTTAATAAAATCTATTTTTTAGCCATCATCAATGATAATTAGTCAGCTAAAAAAGGAATCTCATGACAACGATTACATTTTTCAGAATAAAGAATGAGTAAAGCGGAAGAAAATAAGAGAATACTTGAGAACTAGTCATCAGTTTTAAAAACGGTTGCGAAAGCGGTAAATCGACTAGGCGACCATCCTGCAGTACTTTTGCGAGAAATATACCCAAAATTCGAAATAGCTCAGAAACTCGTGAATTCTCAGCCGAAGAAACTGGTAATGGGGCTGGGAAAAGTCCACCAGATCGACGAACATAGTATCTGGATGTTTATTACAAAAATGCTTTCAACTTCAAAGTGTTCAAAACTGAAAAATGCATCATGAACTTTCAAAATAGTGGTGCATACCCAGGTGGTTTGATACCCTTTCCGAGATCTATCTCCATCGTCTCATCTGTATCTATATCATCGCAAATCCACATTGCTAAATTTTTGCGCTGGAACTCAGCAGCAATCTAAACAGAAATAAACTATGAAGCTGAAGGCCCTCTTTAGTGGTTCACATAATTAGTCAGTGAAATACAGGAGTATGAGAAGTAGAAAATAAAGCTAGAGAGTCATATAAAAAAGCATAAATGCAAACAAGAGCATAAAACTCCAGTGTTGGTCCTAATCCAGTCCCTTCTTCGTTGATATATTCAATTTCTAAAATAGCTTTTCTTGAAGCATGAAACTGCATCAATCGTACAGCATATTCGAAAAGATGCTCATCACTACGTGGTACCTTGAAAAATTTATATAAGTGATGAAAAACACAAGATCAAAATGTAGGATCATCACAATAATGAATAGCAACAAATTTAATATGTTGTTCCAAGCATTACGACAAAAACTTCATTGCAAAGCTGAAATATTTCAAACAAAAAAAATATTGACAAAAATACCTTGATACGTTCATGTTTGATTCGACCTAAACGGAATTCGGGATAATGATCATCCCTACGAGTACTGGCAAGGCTGGACAGTGGTACAGTAGCTGCTGAGCCACGAGAACGCTCAAGCATCTGTTAATACTCAGCATTTATAAAATATTACTATATAAATGAACTGATAGATGTGAATCAATAGAGAAATTCAAGCCGTGATGATACTGATAGCGGAATAAAACTTATTATACCTGATCGCGTCGAGTTTGCAACCAAACAATCGAACGCGAAGCACCAAAAGCTGTAGCCCGGAAGTAATTAATTCTAAAAGTTAAAAAAATGAAAATAATAATTGTAAGAAAATAAACAATTGTCAATTAATACTTGTTACTTGATTTGAAGTTTCAGTTCCTTGGTGCGCAATAAATCATAATGCTAAAAAAGATGGTCACGGAAAAATTTTCGACTCTCGACTTTACATAATTACAAATCGTGTTGAATATAAAATCTTATTTGCAGATGGAGTCAACAAAAGAACAAAAATGTGAATCTATGCTGTTCACCATTCTCAACCCACACGGGCTAAATTTTCGAAAACGCAGTAACAATAAATCCTGAATGCAGCGAGTTTAATGATACACCACAAAGTTGACGCGATGAGTACCTTGTTTCAACAGCAAACAGACATGGATGGTTGAAAATCAGCTCATCACACCAAGATGGTAAAGCTCTTGAGGAAACAATCAATGGATCCGATAGCTCTTGTAATAGTTTCAGAGTCAGTTTCTCGCTAACAAAAATATCTGAGCTTATTTCATATTCGCTGATGTTAGCAGCAATTTGATATAATCTTGAAATAACTGACAGAGTCTGAAATTTGTGCAACTGCTTAACTTTTGTTAGCAGAAAAACTAAAGTTAAAACAAATTCAAAGAAAATATTGAAATGTTTTATGATTTCCCTTCTAACAAAGTCTTCAGTGTTACTTCGTTGGGAAAAAGTGCAAAAAATTTTTGACCATTAAAAGAAGACTCATTAAAAACGCAACATTGTTCAAATAACGAATGCACTTACACGAACAATATTCTCAGGAATTCGATTATTTTCTTCAACACTTTTGTTCATGGTTATAGGAAGCTCATTGCTATCAGACATATCTCCATAAATTAATGTATATGTTGGTTCCCAAATACGTCGAGTTCTATCATTTTTCTAAAAAACAAAGCAGTCAAAAATTCCAGTTAAATAAGTAAAATGATCGGACTCTTATAACAAATCTATTCCAAACAACTACAGAGCGAAGGATAATTATAAAGCTGATGTGACGATGAGAACATTTATTACATTTTTCAACTAAAATTTGAATGATCATAACTCGATAAACAAAATAATCCAATCTTACTTGGCCCCACTCGATACTTTGAACAAGTTGCTGAAGATAGTAAAATATGGATTTATCATCACGATCTAATTCGATAGTAATATTATTAATACTCGTTAAATTGGGCCCACGAAGATATAAACGTAACTTTGGTTCCTGAAAATTGTAAGAGATAAGATAAAACACAATGAAAACGAAATGAAACATACTTCTGCTTTGACAAGCTGTACTGGACTGCAAGATGGACCAGCCATTTCGATTAGCGACTCTCTACTCTGTGGTAATTCAACTTCTTGAATCTGTAATAATGACTTCACAGAGAAAATACTCAACTGCACAGATCTACAAAAAAAAATATACTATTTCAAAAACTATTGTTTATAAGGGAGTTTTCATGAAAATGAAAACTGACTGAATCTTAATTTAAAAATTGACGTTATCGCACTTCTTCCTTACAGATATTTTGAAATATACAAAAAACTTGAAGTACCTGATTAACATTCGTTCTACCTGGACGAGGATCAAAAGCAGGAATCAAAGCCGAAAGTTGATGCCTTAAAACGAATTCATCATCCCAGTTACGATTACATTTTCCATTACCTTGATCAGCTGTTGAATTTGAAATATGAAAACCCCGATCATCAATTAATCTTCCAGCTTCACCTCTCACAACCTTGAAATAAATGAAAATATGATACAGTCAAAAAACGAAGAAACATGTCTCATCATTTTGTCGATGACGCACGTTGTTGAACGAAACCTTGAAGATAACCTGTTTCCAACTAAGCTTCAAATCTCTATTTGATTCAGTGCTCCCTCCACTAGACTGTCTGTGAAGAGCAACTGCTGCTTGCGCTAATGCTTCAACAGAGAAGCCATTTACATATTCTTCATCACAATCATCTTCATTACCATCAAAAGCAATTTCATCACCATACATATCATCCTGAAATGAAGAACAAAAAAGAAGTACGAAGGTGAATTTACCAATCGAAATGAATAACATTCGAAGACCAAGTTAGATCCTTCATAGGTAACACTACTGTAAAAGTTAAAACTTTTAATTCAAGAAACGAATCAGCGGCAACATCAATATTATATTCTAATAATGTCGGACTGAAATCGGTACCTTCTTGAGTTCAAAAGGTCTGTTGAACAGGAAACTAATAAATGATTTCAGAAACAGACAAAGCAAGGTAATTATAACATACTTCTACATCTTCTAATTCGACACTATTCACAGAACCACCGGAATCAATGATCTGTTGCATAACAACAGTACGAAGAATATCGGCATAACTGCCTAAACGTGAACGTAAACAACCCTCCTGAATATTCCGTCGGGAACCTACAATAAGATATTGATCAATTAGTGAAACAAAAATAAGATAATCAAAGTAATAATTCGAAATTTGTTCAAGCTTCTCTTGTAAATATCTTTGATTACTTCCTCAGAAGAACTACAAACTGATTTTTGTCATGGATGATGAAAAATTCCTCAATATTTCGGAATGAGTATTAATATTACATACAAAAGTTTCAAGAAATCAATGTAAATAATTTTTTACAGACTCACCAGATACAATTTCAGACTTTTGCGAAGGACCTGACTGATTTGATCGAACTAAATCGGCTGCAACTTCAATTTTGTTTTGAATATTTTCATCTAAATAATGCAATATTGAAGGTCAGTGAACGTACGAACAAGAAGTATGAAAAAGGATTTCACTGCGCACTCATCATGTTTAACAGCACAGTCTTAAATTATTACTTCCGTAATAAAAAAGCAGAAAATTTTATGTAGTGCAAAAATAAACCTGAAGGGTGCTCATCTGAGCATGAATATAAATTTGTTTTATCACCAGTTTTTGCGCACTTAGCTATACTACTGCCTGCTTTTGTCTCATCTGTCACACTTTCTCGATGCTCTTTGTTGGGTTCAACTGAAACTTGAAAAGCGAAAACTCATACATTTGAATTGAAAGCAAGCTCCTAATTTTTTTCGCTCACATAGCAATGATTAACTAAAGTACAGCTATGTATTATCTTTAATTTAAGAACTGAAAAATTCTATAATCTCAGAAAGTAAAAAAGTAATATAAAAATGTATGTACAAAAAAAATTTTTTAAGTCATATGCAAAATTAACATTTTCATTAAAAAGCAAGATTTTTCCCTGATGTATGATCATAACAATTCCTAAAAATATTCTGCGACACCTCCTATATAAAATACAAGTTATGCAGCAGATAATCAAGTGATACGCAAAATTTTGACAAATTCTGCTTTACAAATATCAGTTATTGAAGAAGAAATTTCATTCCGATTCTATAACATCTTTCAAAAAATTACCATGACTAGGCCTACAAACTACAATGCCATCATTGTCTTCATAAATGATTTTAACATCTGAAGGAACGTCGGATACCGATGGTCTAGATGATTCGTTTAATATTCTTTCATGTCCCTGAGCCGGTATACGTGGACGAACAGACTCGCGCAGAGCTAAAGTATGTTAAACGTCTGAAGATGTTAAAGTGAGATTTCTCACAAACATCATCCGAAACAGACAAATTTAAGTGAGGTCAGCAACCAAACCCCATATTTGATTTATCACTTGCAATTACAGTTGTAACTCACAAATTATATATATATATATATATATATATA